GCTTGCAAGCAAGCGGGCAAGGGAAGTGTGCGCAGGGAGGTAGCAGAGGAGGTGTGCGGGCAGGGGTTCGCGGCAGTTGGCCCTGGCATGAGCCCTGGGCTCTAGCATTTGCCTTACCTCGGGTTATGCCTTCTCCCTCTTCCCATGGAGCAGTTCCGGTTTCCCTCAGCTCTCCCTGTCACTGCCCGGATCTTCCAGGTCCTCCAGGGTGCCTTTGGAAGCCAAAGAGAGCCAGTATGCTGTAATGGTTAGGAGCGCGGACTCTAATCTAGGAGAACCGGGTTTGATTCCCCGCTCCTCCACGTGCAGCTGCTGGTGTGACCTTGGGTCAGTCACAAGTTCTCTCGGAGCTGTCCTCTCACAAGAATCCTCTCAGAGATCCCTCAGCCCCACCTACCTCAGAGGGTGTCTGTTGTGGGGAGGGGAAGGGAAAGGAGATTGTAAGCCGCTCTGAGACGCCAAGTGAAGGGCGGGTTATAAATCCAATCTCTTCTTCTTCTTTTACCTCACAGGGTGTCTGTTGTGGGGACGGGAAGGGAAAGGAGTTTGTCAGCTGCTCTGAGACTGCAAGTGAAGGGTGGGGTATAAATCCAAACTCCTGGCATCGTTTAATGTGTCATATGAATATTCATGCTTTGTTTCAGTTCTGAGAGCCAGTAGAGGTTAGGAGCGTGGACTCTAATCTGGGAGAACCAGGTTTGATTCCCCACTCCTCCATGTGCAGCTGCTGGTGTGACCTTGGGTCAGTCACAAGTTCTCTCAGGGCTGTCCTCTCACAAGAATCCTCTCAGAGCTCCCTCAGCCCCGCCGTCCTCACAGGGTGTCCGTTGTGGGGAGGGGAAGGGAAAGGAGATTGTACGCCGCTCTGAGACTCCTTCGGATAGCGAAGGGCGGGGTATAAATCCAGTCTCTTCGAAGCCCCTGTGCCAACGTGAATTAGTTCTGGCAGAAGTCTCCTCCCCGTACCCATAAACATGAACATGGAAGCCTTTCTCCTTTCGTGTTCTGGTCTTCGGCCTGCATCCAGCCGGAAGGCCTAGCAGCAGCGAAGACATCCATAACAGGCCTGGTGGCAGTTGCTCCCCCAGGTTCTGGAGAGGTGGACACGTCCCTTTGGCTCCTCCATGTGATTTATGGCACCAATTTACGCTGCACAGGAGAGCAGTACATAAATTAATTACCAGGCCCAGCCGGTAATGGGATTTGGAGCAGATGCTTGAGAAATGGCTGGCGGTGGCTTAGAATACATTGTGTGTGGTGTGTGTGTGTGGAGAACGCACTGGCTGTGCCCTTTTCCTTTCCCCCCTTCTCTCCCCAGGGTCAGTCTCCTTGTGATCGGTAAACGCTGCATTCATCCCTGGGTCTACTCGATCTGATCCTCACTGTGAAGTACTGTCCTTACTCGGGCAGTTTTTTTATTTGGAGAGTTTGTGCATCTCAGATCTCCGGAGATCTGCGCTACAGATTCAAGCGCCCTGAGAACTTTTTGTGATCTGTTTCGAACCCAAGTTTATAGCACTTAAGAAAGTGGTGGTTGTATGTGCACGGGACATGTCTTGCGCAATGCTCCCTCTAAGCTTGGAGTCTTGTGAGCAAAAATTCAACTTTGCGAGCTACTGGCATTAAAGTTGTGAGCAAGTGATTTGGCCACTGCATAAATTAGTGTGCTCTGGAGCCCTCCTTCCTGAGCTAAGACAAAAATGTGTGAGCCGGAGGCTAAAAAACTGTGAGCTAGCTCACACTAACTCAGCTTAGAGGGAACACTGGTCTTGTGTAAGGAAGAAGAAGAGATTGGATTTATACCCCGCCCTTTACTCGGAGTCCCAGAGCGGCTTACAAACTCCTTTCCCTTCCCCTCCCCACAACAGACACCCTGTGAGGTAGGTGGAGCTGAGAGAGCCCTTTCCAGAACTGTCCTTGAGAGAACAGCTCTGAGAGAACTATGGCTTGCCCAAGGTCATCCAGCAGGTGCAACTGGAGGAGTTGGGAATCAAACCCAGTTCTCCCAGATTAGAGTCCGCACACTTAACCACTACACCAAGCTGACTCTCAATCCCTGGAGAGAGTAGCTTGTCCATAAGCAGAATTTCCACTGGACAGGGAATGGGGATTCCGGGGCCCTGTGTATTCCCTGTGTTTGTGACTGGATCCTTTGTGGGCAGAAAAGTAGTGGTGTTTGGTAGATACGTTTTGAGAATTGGTGGGTGGGTGGATTCTCGTCAGTATATTTTCTCATTAGATTTCTGTTCTTTTTTTGTATACATGTAATTTTACCTTGGGGAGACTGAAACACCGATAACTTGAAATCAGACATCATGCGGGTAGCCGTGACAGAGCCCCAGCTCGGGGAGGACATAGAATATAAACAAACATTCAGTCAGTCGAGTTCTCCATTCCAAATTGGACATGTTTTTCCTTTCCCATCGTCACACCTTGGGGAGTGCAAACTTTTGCGAGGTCGGCGATCTGAATCTTCTAAATCTTCCTTTGCAGCTGTCCAAAGAGGTCGGATCCCTCCTACCCACTCCAGCGCCAGCCCCAACGCCATGCCCAGCGGGGAATACTACAACGGGCAGCCCGTTTCGGAACTGATCTCTCAGCTGCTGCGGGCCGAGCCGTACCCCACGGCCCGCTTCAGCTCGCAGTACGCCCAGCAAGGCAGCGTGATGGGCATCGATAACATCTGTGAGCTGGCGGCCCGGCTACTTTTCAGCACGGTGGAGTGGGCCCGGAACATCCCCTTCTTCCCCGACCTGCCCGTCTCGGACCAGGTGGCCCTGCTGCGCCTCAGCTGGAGCGAGCTTTTTGTCCTGAACGCGGCCCAGTCGGCGCTGCCCCTTCACATGGCCCCACTGTTGGCAGCGGCCGGCTTCCACGCCTCCCCCATGTCCGCAGACCGAGTGGTGTCCTTCATGGACCAGATCCGCATCTTTCAGGACCAGGTGGAGAAACTCAACCGGCTGCAGGTGGACTCGGCCGAATACAGCTGCCTCAAAGCCATAGCGCTCTTCACGCCAGGTGAGTCGGTTCCCAGCCGGCTGTGTCGAATAGTAAAGGTAAAGGTTCCCTTGCTCGAAAGTCAGTCGAATCCGACTCTAGGGTTGCGGTGCTCATCTCCGTTTCAAAGCCGAAGAGCCAGCGCTGTCCGAAGACGTTTCCGTGGTCATGTGGCCGGCATGACTAAACACCGAGGCGCACGGAACGCTGTTCCCTTCCCACCGAAGTGGTACCTATTTATCTACTTGCAATTTCTTGCTTTCGAACTGCTAGGTTGGCAGGAGCTGGAACTAGAGACGGGAGCGCACTCCGTCATGCGGCAAACTCGGGTCTCGAACTGCTGAACTACCGACCTTCCACAGCCTGCAGTTCAGTGTCTTAACCACTTGAGCCCAGCAAGTTTTGAGCCGAATTTCCCACAAAATATTCACAAAGGAGACTTCGTCAAAGTGAAATGCATCTATTGTCTGGAATAAATCTATCCCATATAGTCCATCGTAGGAAAATGCAGAAGCCCAAAGGTAGGGAGGGCGGGGTGTAAATCGAATAAAATAAATAAATAAATAAATAAAATAAAGAATATCAATATACAAGATAAATATCCAAAAAGTCCAACACTTTCCCAGTGTTTCAGACTTCTGATCCTTCCTCGGGAACAAAAAACTGTAAAATTACAAAATGCAGTAACACTTTTTAAAACAATATTTCAAAAACCATTAATCCCAATATTACAAAGAGCCCTTTTAAATTAATAACATCATTACACTGTTATCAGTCCTACCAACTACCGAGAGTCTCATTCCATCTCCTTTTAAGAGAATGCTTTTCTATTACTCTGTAAAAGAGAATTCCTCCTTTGAGTTTTACTTAATTTTTTGTAGAAATAGCACAATGTACGGACCACAAAATGAATAAAACGTATACTCACTCAACATTGGGCAAGGTCTCCTCAGCTCTAATCTGCACCTCTAAAGGCTGCTTCAATGTGTCATAGAATCATAGAATGTTAGAGTTGGAAGGGACCCTGCAGGTCATCTAGTCCAACCCCCTGCACTCTGCAGGAGCATAGCCGAAAGAGAGCCCTACGTACCTACATCATACCCGAAAGATGGCCATGCAGCCTCCGCTTGAACACATCCAGCGTAGGAGCACCCACCACCTCACCTTCCACTGCTCAACCACTCTTACGGTTAGGAAGTCTCTCCTGATATTTAGCTGGTAACAACTCCCTTGTCATTTCCACTCATTAGATCTAGTCTTGCAATCCAGAGCAAGAGAGAATAGATCCACTCCAGCTTCCACATGACAGCCCTTCAAGTATTTGAAGACTGCACTCATGTCCCTTCTAAGCCTTCTCTTTCCCGGGCTAAACATACCCAACTCTTTCAGCCTTTCCTCATAAGACTTGGATTCCAACCCTCTCACCATCCCGGTTGCCCTCTTCTGGACACGCTCGAGCTTGTCAACATCCTTCCTGAAATGTGGTGCCCAAAACTGGACACAGGACGCCAGGTGAGGCCTGACCATAGCAGAATAGATCGGAACGACCACCTCCCGTGATCGGGACACAATGCTTCTGTTCATGCATCCTAAGATTGCAGGACCAAAACATGCCTCGGAGTATCCAGCCTACTGTGTCTATTTTATGGATCTAAATTGAATACAGCTGGTTGTTCCCTGCTGGCATTTGAAGTTGTAGAATTTTTGAAACGAAGTCTCCTTTGCGAATGTTTTGCGGGAAATTCAGCTCACAGTTGTTCTTTTGTGTTTTTTTTGTTCGTCTTTGCTACTTTTTACTGTGTGTTGTACTTCTGTTGTTGAGTGGTGCCTTTCTTACTCCTTGCTCTGCTTCAGAGTATCATAGAGTTGGGCAGGGACCTGTCAGGGCTGATCCACCCACTCGCCGCTCTCTCTGCAACCCCACACCATGATGCGCTTTTGGCACATCAGAGGCAACTGAATTCAGGGTGTAAGCTTGCCCAGTGTCCACTTCCAGTCTGCGGCTTCCGTGTCCACCTTCCTGGGCAGGAGAAAAGGTGCGGGGGAGAGATGTCATATGATGTCACTTTTGGTTACGCTCTAGGAATCTCCCTGATTTCTATGGTTTTTACCCTAGAGATGTTTTGGTGGGTGGGATTCCTAGGATGTTGTCCAGGAGTGACATCGCTTTTGGGTCTGCATGACCCTCCCCAGGCCCCGCCCCAGAAATCCCCCAGGGGATGCGGGCAGAGGTCTGTCAACCCTAGTTCAGACCAAAGAGACGACTTCAGTCAGTGAGACAGGCTGCATGTTTTCTTATTTTGTTGTCTTTGTCGGAAACTTTTTCCCCACCTTGCCTTTCTGCTGACAGAGTTACGACATAAACCTTTAACTGGGTCTTGTCTCTGTGCCTGCCTGCCTGTCTGTCTGTCTGTCTCTCAAAAAAGCAATAAAACAGAAGTCCCAGAAAGGGGCAATAATTAATCCATTGAATCCTCTAGAAAATTAGACATTTGTCCTGTTGACTAAAAGACAGGCAGGTGGGGTACCAAAGCACAATCCTGGGGTGGAGTGGGGTGTCTCTGTGTGCATCTGCCTTGCTAGCTGGAGAAACCCTCAGAAAGGGAGACAGAGATGAAAGGGGGGGTGGAGTTTTGAAGCCCTAAGGTACAGATTCCGTGCTGTCCCCGCCTCTGCCGCTCCCAGCAACTGTCAGTTCTGAATTTAAAGGGAAATACTATGGGCTGTGTAGCAGTATTCTTAGCGCATAAGAATATCCCTGCTATATCAGTCCAGTGGTCCATTTGGTCCAGCTTCCTGTTTCGTGCAGTGGCCAGCCATAGGGCATAGAGGCTGTTTCCTGATGTTGCCTCTTGGCACTGGCATTTCAGAAGTTTACTGCCATCTGAATGTGGGGTCCCCCTTAGTCACCATTGCTAATAGCCTCTCATAGACTGAACTATCCTCTTTTAAAGCAAGTCTGTGCTTGTGGCCACCACTGCATCGCCAGGCCCTGAATTCCACAGCGAAATCTCTCATTGAGCAGAGTATTTTCTTGTGCATGCCTGCAGCACCCCCTGGTGTTCAGATGGATCCCATGCGTGCTGATAGCTTAATTATTGTGAGAAACTGCAGTTTTTAGCAAGAAAATTTGACCAAGGTGTGTGTTCATGCATGTAATATAAAGGTAAAGGTAAAGGTTCCCTTGCTCGAAAGCCAGTTGAATCTGACTCTAGGGTTGCAGTGCTCATCTCCGTTTCAAAGCCGAAGAGCCAGCGCTGTCTGAAGACGTTTCCGTGGTCATGTGGCCGGCATGACTAAACACCAAGGCTCACGGAACGCTGTTACCTTCCCACCGAAGTGGTCCCTATTTATCTACTTGCAATTTCTTGCTTTCGAACTGCTAGGTTGGCAGGAGCTGGAACTAGAGACGGGAGCTCACTCCGTCTTGCGGCACCCGGGTCTTGAACTGCTGAACTACTGACCTTCCACAGCCTGCAGTTCAGCATCTTAACCACTTGAGCCACCACAGCTCCTGCACGTAATATACATCAACTTATTTGCACAGAAGCACAGTTCATTACAATTAATTACTTCCCTCTTGTAATCTTTGTAAGGAATGCACTCGTGTTTATATAAATATAAAGGAGGCTTTTTAGCCAATTCAGAAAAAAAGCAAGGATAATTTTCAAAGGAAGGGTAAACTGCTGCACTCTGAGGAGACCCTGGGGACTCATGGTGGTGGAGGTTGATTTGATGGGGGAAATATGCAGGCCTTTCAGTCTTCCGCTGTTAATCTTTGGAACTCCCTTCCCCATGAATTCGGAGGTGTCCTTTAGTTGCAGGCCTCTCAAAATTCTTTTGAACTTGGATTTTGTTGTTGTTGTTGTTGTCCTGTTGCTAATTGTGAGTTGCTCTAAGCAGTTAATGAACTGGAAAGGCAGCGTAGGAAAATGTGTAATACCCTCATTATCAGCAAGGTGAATCTGAGATTAAAAGGTCATGATGTTGTAAGCCACTTGGGGTACCCACTGGGGAGAAAAGTGAGGTATAAATGAAGTCAATAAAAAAATAAGATACCCAATTGAAAAAGAGGGAGAGAAATTGGCAACCATTAGTTCCAGAACAAATGGATAAATTGACTGAGCAAATGAATTACCATCAAAAAAGCTTTTATTGCACTTTCACACACACTAAATAATGCACTTTCAGTCCATTTTCAGTGGACTTCAGTGATCGTTTGCAAGTGGACTTTGCAACTGAATTTTATCGCGTGAAAACAGTAAAGTGCATTGGAAAAGGACTAAAAGTGCATTAGTTGGCACTTTCAATGCACTTTAGTGATTGTTTGCAAGTGGTTTTACTGTTTTCACACAGTAAAATCCATTGCATTGAAAGAGGATTGAAAGTGCACTACTGTGTGTGTGTGTGTGTGTGTGAAGGGGGGGGGGAATGTGGAAGAGATGCACCTGGCCAGTCAACAAGAAAAATAACCTAAAATTGCTGGTTCGCAAGACAGTCGTCCTCATACAAGCTTGGTCCAGTGTCCAAAAGAAGCCCCTTGGTTCCAACCCGGACGCGACCTGACCTCAGCTCTCCCTTTTCTCTTTCCCAGACGCCTGCGGCCTCTCTGACCCAGCCCACGTGGAGAGCCTGCAGGAGAAAGCCCAGGTGGCCCTGACGGAGTACGTCCGCTCGCAGTACCCCTCGCAGCCCCAGCGCTTCGGCAGACTCTTGTTGCGCCTCCCGGCTCTCCGGGCCGTCCCCGCCTCCCTCATCTCTCAGCTCTTCTTTATGAGACTAGTCGGCAAGACGCCCATCGAAACACTAATCAGAGACATGCTCCTCTCCGGGAGCACTTTCAACTGGCCTTATGGGACGGGGCAGTGAGGACAACGCAGGGGGTGTCCACGTCCCTCGACGCCACCCCAGGTTTGCTGCCTCTGCTGCCATGCCGACAGTCTGGATGTTTGCCGCCGCCTCTCCGTCACGGATTGTAGTTGTCGAGAAATTGTGCTATTGGTAGGCACGAAGCTTCCGGTGGCAACGAGGGAAGTCCCGCCTCTCGAGTGTCGAGCGAGACCGAGGTGGGCTGGATTTTGGTTTGGTTGTTTTCTTCTCTTCTTCCACAGAAAGAAGGGGAAAGAACCTTAATATCCTGTTTTCGTTTTTTTCCTTTTTGGGGGTTTTTGATTCCTTTCCATATGATGTTTCGGGTGGCAAGTCAAGGGCTTCCCTGCCTTCATTTTTTAATTTTCTTCTCTGCATTCAGCTTTGTCCTCTTTGCATGTTTTAAAGAACTGAGGGGGCTGGTTGTCCCGGATTGAAATGCCACCATATTTCAGATCAGAAATATCTGTGTTCCTCTTTGCCCCATCTCCCTCCTCCCCTTTTCTAGGTCTGTGTGCGGGATATCTTCTCCACCTTGAGCCAAACGCCTTCTTATTATCGATTATAACCTGGTAGAGTAATTTCATTTTGGGAATAAGCCAGAAATCAGGATGCCTCGTCTTAGACTTTTGGAGGTCTTGGTAGGGTTGAATTTTGTCCAGCGGGGCAGCCGTTGTCGTTTGCAGGTAGAGTGCTTCGGAACCTGGAGGTTCCACTGAGCTACTGTGTATTTAAAGCTTGGTTTAAAGTTTTAAACTTCTTCCTTTTTTGCCTCTTTTTTTCTTTTCTTTTTTTGCAAACCAGTGTACACATTTCTAGTCACTCAAATATATATGCCTTGGCCCAAATTACTTAAACCGATCATACCCGTTCCTATTGGTTGTGACTTTTGCCCCTTTCCAAATCTCCTGATTTATTTTTTTTTGCGCTCTCTTCATATAACAAGATATTAAATCACTTACCTAATACTGCTCCTTTCACCTATAGGTTTTGGGTAGTGCTGCAGTACAATCCACATAAACCAAACTGAACTATAATTTCTACTCGCTAGAAGATAGGGGGAAGAAATTTCTTGACAACCAAAGTAACCTCTGAATCCCAACCCAACCCAAAGTCTCCTCGATTTTTCTTCCACTGATGCACCTACCATCCCACCTAGGGGTGGAATAATCCACAAATCTCTCGCATTTGTGAAAAAGGGACATTCCAGTGTACAGTGTGCCGGTGTATCAGCTTTCCCAGTAGCACACGAACATAGCTTCTCCGAAAAGGGCACCTTTTTATAATGACCATTCATTATACAACAAGATATTATTTTTCTTCGTGTTTTCTTATGTGACAAGAGTCTTTCCATGTGAGGCTGTGGTGGGGAAATTGCTGTCTCTCCACCCACCCACCCCCCATATTATGCAAACACTATGCAAACGGTTAACTGCATGCAAAATGAAATATACCCTTTAATTAATCATGGCCCACCTGCTCCTGCGCTGGATGATCACTTCACTCCAAATTACAGGCAATTCACTCCAAATTACAGGTCCATGGACAGTTAACCCAATACAAACACAAGATATACCATGAGACGGCAATCAATATAAAGACTCTTCTTTAAAGTTACTAATGACTGGTGCTCAGTGTAACTTAAATGAGCCTTGTTGTTTGTATCAGTACAAAAAGTACAACACAACATAGTCAGTTTCTTACAATAACCAATAATAACAAACAACAGCATGTACTTTTGTTCCATACAGCTTTGTAGAAGATTTTACAGCATGTGAAAGATTCTGACGAGCTTCCGGTTTACTTTCAGCCTGTTTCTTTATCTTTTCACAGTTAAAGACTACATAAAAACTGAGAGCCGGTTGGGTGTCGTGGTTAAGTGCGCGGACTCTAATCAGGGAGAACTGGGTTCGATTCCCCACTCCTCCACTTGCACCTGGTTGGATGACCTTGGGCCAGCCATAGTTCTGTCAGAGCTGTCCTTGAAAAAGAGCTTTTTCTCAGCCCCACCTACCTCACAGGGTGTCTGTTGTGGGGAGGGGAAGGGAAAGGAGATTGTAAGACGCTCTGAGACTCCTTCGGGTAAGTGAAGGGCGGGTATAAATCCAATCTCTTCTCTTCTTCTTCTACATCAATGGAAGACTTCTGTAATTACTTCTATGGCCTTCTGCTCCTGTTTCAGTATATGCTGTAAAATCTTTCACAAAGCTGCAAGGAACAAAAGTACATGCTGTTGTTTGTTATTATTGGTTATTGTAAGAAACAGACTTTGTGGTATTGATACAAACAGCAAGGATCATATCAGTTACATTGCGCACCAGTGTATTATTTATTAGTAACTTTAAAGAAGAGTCTGTTTATATTGGTTGCCGTCTCGTGGTGTATCTTGTGTTTGTACGGGGTGACCAGTTCAACCATCGTCTGTCCAATCTCTTCTTCTTCTTCTTCTCTGTACGGGGTGACCAGTTCAACCATCGTCCATTGCCGTTTCTCATTTATAATCACTATTTTTTTTAAAAAAAGTTTGCAGTACTTTAAAATCTGCGTGCCTCACCACCGCCCATGACGTCAATTGCCATCGAACCCATTTTACAGATGCAGGGATGGTGGCCACTGAGGCGCGGGAGATGACTGGCCTCCCAACAGCAGTAGCGGGGGACTTTCTCAGGTCTGCCAGGCCCAAAGTTAACTGGTTGTAAAATCTATGCAAACGTCCCTGTCCAACCCCTTCAGATTTGGGAGAAAAGGAAGCCAAATGTACATGAAAGCGGTAGGTTGCCATGTTGACCCGTTGGGGGAGGGGGGGATCCCCAAAATGGCAAAACAGTTCCGCGTAAGTATTTATCAGAATATATGTTAAGTGCAAGACAAAATCCAGGTGGAGAGAAGCAGAAATGCTGCAGTAAATAAATCAAAATTTAGGTTGGCAGAGGCCAAAGGTCTACAGGCAGGCCCGTGGCCAGGATTTTGTGGGGCAGTTTTCCACCCAGGTGGGTATGCCATTATTTGCCATAATGAAGGGGGGGCCACGTGCTCCCTGCCAATCAGCCGGAGGGCCCTTTAAATCTTGCAGGAGGGGAGGGAGGAGGTCTCAAGCATTTAAAGGGATCCTCTAAATGCTTTGGGGAAGAAGCGAGGGTGGTCTTTAAGAAGGGGGGCTGGCCCTTTAAGGAAGGGGGTGGAGCCCCCAATAGCCCCCACCCCCAGCTACGGGCTCTCTGTGGCTTTTAAGACTTCTGATCCTTGTTCTGAGATCATCAGAAGACCCGGAGCAGACCGGAAGCCACTCTGCTCACCAGAAACCTCCGTGATGATGGAGGACCGATTCATTGTGCTCAGAATTCAGCGGCCTCATCCTGCGATAGCGTCACCTGGATCAGACTGGACCTTGGTACCTCTTTTGTATATGCCCTTTGCCACTTCTCCCATAAAAAACCCACCTGTCCCCGGAAGACAGCGTCTACCTTTCGGTCTGATGGGGGGGGGGGGGTCCTTAGGACCACCAGACAGTCAGAAGCCCATCTGGCGAAACTGTACCTGGTAGGGAGACAGAAGGGAGTCCGGGGCTTGGTCTGGGCCCATTTCTGCCTTCTGTGCAACCAAGAAAACCTTACCGGACACGAAACAAGGGCGTTAGAGGCAACCAAGGATTCCCTTGCTGGGGCTAGCACTTACTAACTATTGAAACGTTTTCTCTGGCTGGGAAAAATGCTCTCGCCTGTTCCTTGGGCTGCTGTCAATGAGCGCAGGAGCAGGGGCAGTGAAGAAGTTGGCAGCCTCGGCCCCCAAGTAAAATCCCAGGGCCTTGGGGGAAAGCTGGGCAGAGGGTGGCTTAGAGCCAGAAGCCTGACTGGAGTTGTTAAGAGGGAACTTGCCTTTCCCGACACCTCCAGCTGGGGGAAAGAGAGATCCATTTGAAACCGGAGACACTGGGCCATTTGGAGCTGGGCCATTCTGTGAGCTGAGCAGAGACCACTGGCCCAAAGATCTGAAGCTCAGAACTTCCCCAGGCACTTCCTCTGCCTTGTGTTGTTCAGGCTCTTCTACCGGATCCGCAGTGGGTTGCGAGGATTCCTGTATTGCAGGGGAATGCTCTCTTAGAGATGTTTTAACTGTCCGGTTCCTTGCTGTCTGCCCTCTCCTGTTTCGGCCACTGGCCTGGATTACAAACCTTGTGGCTTCTCGCTGATTTCATTGCAAGTTCACACACACGTGCTTGACGCCTTCAGTGGGCACGTTTGAGTCGTTCACATCATCCTGACCAGGCATCCCCAACATGATGCCCGTGGGGGACGTCCGACCCCTTTTCTGGCATCTGCCAAGTGCTTCTAGAAAAGCCGGTGAGGCCAGGCGGGTTTCTTACCCACTAAGGCTTCCGAGAGTCGGTTGGCCCTGCAGATTTAAAAGAAACGTTGCTTTTGGCAGCAGCTACTGCAATAGTACAAAGGTTTTTACTGTGTGACTGAAGGTAAGCCGCGGCAGCCATTTTGTGGCTGTTTCCGCCACCAGCAGCCATTTTGTGGACACCACGCTATTGCAGATTTCCAAAGGTGCCTGCAGACTCAAAAAGGTTGGGGACCCCTGATCTGGACCGTCTCTGATGTATTCAGCACCAGGTATTCCAGGAGGGCTGACGATTCCACGCTTAATTCCGCTGAGTTCCTTCCCTCATTTGCCCCCTGGTGATTCTTCTGTAGCTCTGTTTGCTTTTGCTATAAATAGAAATTGGATTATTATTTTTTTGGGATGAGGTGGGCGGGGGAAGTGTTGTGACCACGAAGCAAGAAAAGGGGGACGATCCGGGGGAGGGGGGGATTTGTAAATTCAGTGATTTTTTTTTTTTTGCAAATATATTCCTTGTCTGATTGCTCAACCAATGACCCAATAAAGATATTTCTTAGAATAAAGGATCACTCCTGTGGGTTTGTGTCATTTGGGAAAGGGTGAAGGTGGGGGCAGTTTCGCTCCCGCCGGTAGAGCATTTCTGAGCAAACCACACGCAGTGTCAATCCATACGGTACAATCCAAAGACAAGTCAGCTTAAGATCCCTGCTGAATTGGATCAGAGGTCCGACTAGCCCGGAATCCTGTTCCCAATGTGAAATTTCTGGAAATTTTGAGGGGGGGGGCGTTGAGGGTTTTTTTCTGGGTTTGAGGGGAAAATCGAACTATATGCGGGACTGAACTTTCCTATAAAACCTATTTTGCTGATTAAACCACACACACTGTCAATCCATACGGTACAATCCAAAGAAAAATCAGCTTAAGATCCCTGCTGAATTGGATCAGAGGTCCGACTAGCCCAGAATCCTGTTTCCAATGTGAAATTTCTGGATTTGGGGGGGGGGGCACGTTGAGTTTTTTTCTGGGTTTGAAGGGAAAATCGAACTATATGCGGGACTGAATTTTCCTATAAAACCTATTTTGCTGATTTGACAACATAAAATGCCTCATAACGTAGCGCATAACATTGTATGAATTGGCTTGTTTATGGCGTTTAAAATTATAGATGCCTTCCCTACAAGCACTCAAGCAAAAGAAAACTACACACTGTGCTCTGTGCTATTATTGCAAATTTCACTCAGTCCAGTATTTTTTTTAATTAAGCATGTTTTTTTTTTTTCCTTTCAAAAGTGTCCCAGTTTTTGCAATGGAAAAATTGAGTCCCCAGGAAGGGGGGGGGAGGTTTTTCCCTCCCAATATTCCTATCTCCCCTCCCAGCCTTTCTTTCCCTGCCCCCAAGGAAATAATTTGGATTTATTTCCATAATTCTGACTGCAAGTAACTGAATTTCTGGAACTGTCAGATTCATGTCTAGTAGCACCTTAGAGACCAACAAAATTTTTGAGGGTATAAGAGATCTCGGAGTCTTTATGTGTCAGTCAGAAGGGGGGAGTAGGGGTGTTGTAAAGAATGCTTATAACGGATGCAGGAGGTACCATGCCTATTGTAATCAGCTTGATCAAAGTGGAGGGGAAATGCTTGGGGACAGAAAATTAGCATCTATAGTGAGATAAGAATCCTGTGTCTCTGTTCAGCCCTGGGGAGGTCCGTTGCTCTTCACCTGAGAATGGACTCAAGCGTTCTTTACAATACCTCTCCCGCCTTCTGACTGGGATATAAAGACTAAAGGATCTTCTTTCCTACTCATATCTGATGAAGGGAGCTTTGACTCTCAAAGGCTTATACCCCTCTCCCAAATCTTCTTGTTCTGTAAGAAGAAGAAGAGATCAGATTTATACCCCACCCTTCACTTGGAGTCTCAGAGCGGCTTACAGTTTCCTTTCCCCCTCCCCACAACAGACACCCCGTGAGGTCGGTGGAGAGAGCAGCTCTGAGAGAACTTGTGACAGACCTGAGGTCAAATGCAGCAGCCTCACGTGGAGGAGTGGGGAATTAGACCAGGTTCTCCCACATTAGAGTCCACCAGGGGTCATTTCCTGCGGGAGCGCACAGGAGCGGAGCTCCGGCAGTAAAGAGCCCAGGGGGGCGGGCACATGCAACAAGCCCCACCCCTTGCTCCCAGCAGCCCTCAGTCAGAGCAAGAAGCAGCCAGGTAAGCTGCAGAGCCCCCGTCCCCCCAGCCCAAAACAGTCCAGTGGCACCTTTAAGACCAAGTTTTATTCAGGCACAAGCTCTCCCTCCTCTGCGATGACAGATCTGTACGTTCCCCCCCCCCAAAGCTAGCCATCCAAAACAGTCCAGTGGAGCCTGAGCGGTGGGTGTTGCCTTCTGACACACTTCTGGTGATGTCAGGGGGTGTGGCATATGCAAATGAGTTATGCCAATGAGCTCCTGCACCTCTTTTTCTACGGAATGACCCCTGGAGTCCACGCTCCTAACCACGACACCGAACTGGTGCTACTGGACTCGGAACTGAACTGTTCTCTTGCCGACCAACGTGGCTTTCTTCTGAAACTGAATATCTGTGTCTCTTGGATGATTAGATTAGCAAAATGGGGGAGGTTCACAACAGAACTCCGTAAGGTTGCCTCAGGCGTGTTAATACAGCCCGCACGTAAATCACGCCTCAAAATACAGACCACGGCCAGAGACATATTTGAGAGCTTCTCCCTGTCAGATTCCTTCCCGTAACTGGGCATTTATTACCCACCCTGGACATATATATTTTATGTGGGATATATGTGAGAAGGGAGCACTCCCTGGAGAAGACCCTGATACTGGGAAAGATTGAAGGTCAAAGAAGACGGGGACGTCAAAGGATGAGATGGTTAGACAGTGTCATCGATGCAACGAACATGAAATTGAGCCAACTTCAGAGGATGGCGGAAGACCGGAAGGCCTGGCGTGATCTGGTCCATGGGGTCGCGGAGAGTCGGACTCGACTGTGCGACTGAACAACAACAAAGATTTCCAATGAATAAAACTCTATATGTTGGCACAGAACCTCACTAAGCTGACCCCCCCGGGAGAAGGTCCCCTTGATCAGTGGAGGGATGTCACAGCCAATGTTGTGCAAAGTGATGTCAGGTCAGATAGAACAGATAAAAGGAAGTATTTCTTCACCCAAAGAGTAATGAACAAACGGAATTCCCTGCCACAGGAGGTGGTGGCGGCTACAAGCATGGACGGCTTCAAGAGGGAATTGGATAAACATATGGAGCAGAGGTCCATCCGTGGCTATTAGCCACAAGGTATAGACAGGAACTCTCGGTCTGGGGCAAGGGATGGTCTGTATTCTTGGTGCTTGGGGGGGGCAACAGTGGGAGGGCTTCTACTGTCCTGGCCCCACTGCTGGACCTCCTGATGGCACCTGGTGTTTTTGGCCCCTGTGTGACAGAGTGTTGGACTAGATGGGCCATTGGCCTGATCCAACATTGGCTTCTCTTATGTTCTTATATGGAGCAGAGGTCCATCAGGGGCTCTTAGCCACAAGGTATAGATAGGAACTCTCAGTCTGGGGCCAGGGATGCTCTGTCTTCTTGGTATCGTGTCGGCGCACCGCTTTTCCCTCTGGCCCCTCGTTGACACGGAGGGAAGGAACCATGGCATGTTGCCGATGCATGGGATCGTGTTCTGGCATGTTAAATTGTGGCAGCGCAAATAGCCACGCCTCCCCCACACGTTATCCGGCCCGTGTGACCGGGGCCGGAGATACTCACGGTTGTCATCACCAAAGAGCAACAAACTTCTCGGACAAGAGCACAGCTAATTTGCATGGGAACTCTACTCCTCTCGCCTAATGTTCCCTCTAAGCTCTGGAGTCTTGTGAGTAAAAATTCTCCTTTGTGAGCGCCTGGCATTAAAGTTGTGAGCAAGCGGTTTGGCTCCTGCATCAATTAGTTTGCTCTGGAGCCCTCCTTCCTGAGCTGAGACGAAAATGTGTGTGCCAGAGGTTAAAAAACCGTGAGCTAGCTCACACTAACTCAGCTTAGAGGGAACACAGCCCTTGTGAACGTGTGATATATGAAGAGGTCTTTTCATTTTACCCGTTACCAAGCAAGACGCTTTTTCATTGCCACTGTTCCCAATCAACTTGGAATTTTTAAAGACTGTTTTTATACCATTGATGCAAAGGTAAAGGTAAAGGTTCCCTTGCTCGAAAGCCAGTCCAATCCGACTCTAGGGTTGCGGTGCTCATCTCCGTTTCGAAGCCGAAGAGCCAGCGCTGTCCGAAGACGTTTCCGTGGTCATGTGGCCGGCATGACTAAACAGCAAGGCGCACGGAATGCTGTTCCCTTCCCACCGAAGTGGTACCTATTTATCTACTTGCAATTTCTTGCTTTCGAACTGCTAGGTTGGCAGGAGCTGGAACTAGAGACGGGAGCTCACTCCGTCATGCGGCCCCCGGGTCTCGAACTGCTGAACTACCGACCTTCCACAGCCTGCAAAACCAGGTGTCTATTTTAGCAATGATTTTTTAAAAAATAAATCAAATGTTCATCGCTTAAATGGGTTTGGCCCAAGAACAGAGAATCCATTTCAGAACCTGGGACTTTCAAGTGGAAACGGTGTGTTTGCAATACAATCGAGCTGCTCTTGAACCTGCAACACTCTTGGCTGGCACCAGATGAACACCACTGAGTTTGTATGAAGGATCAATACACCACCACCTCAGTTCAGAGTCACAGTGGTAACACAAGCCAGGTAGGGTTCAACCGGTCCTTGAAATTGCTGCATTTACTCGCAAGGAAGGCGACCCTGAAACGTAAGATGACCTCCCCGCCCCGAAAAAGACGATATACACCAAAATTTGTTTATTGGACATTACTGTTATTTCTATGCACATCTCAGATGACTTCTTAGTTTGGCGCAGTGGTTAAGTGTGCAGACTCTAATCTGGGAGAACCGGGTTTGATTCCCCACTCCTCCACTTGCAGCTGCTGGATGACCTTGGGCAAGCCATAGTTCTGTCAGAGCTGTTCTCTCAAGGACAGTTCTGGAAAGAGGTCTCTCAGGCCCACCTACCTCACAGGGTGTCTGTTGTGGGGAGGGGAAAGGAGATTTTAAGCCGCTCTGAGGCTCCAAGTGAATTGCAGGGTATAAATCTAGCTGTCCGGGTGTGGGAGGGGGTTCGAAGGGGAGACACGGGAGGATACGTCTGCTCGTCGTCTTCTTCTTCTTCATCTTCAGTTTGGTGTAGTGGTTAAGTGCGCGGACTCAAATCTGGGAGAACCGGGTTTGATTCCCCACTCCTCCCCTTGCAGCTGCTGGATGACCTTGGGCAAGCCGTAGTTCTGTCAGAGCTGTTCTCTCAAGGACAGTCCTCGAAAGAGCTCTCTCAGCCCCACCTCCCTCACAGGGTGTCTGTTGTGGGGAGGGGAAGGGAAAGGAGTTTGTAAGCCGCTCTGAGACTCTGAGTGAAGGGCGGGGTATAAATCCAATCTCTTCTTCTGTTGTTTTTTTTTGTAATGGGTTTTTTTTTGTTCTGCTGTCAAGTCGTGGCCAAGTTATGGTGACCCTGTGGGGTTTTCAAGGCCAAGAGACCGTTCAGAGGTGGTTTGCCATGGCCTGCCTTCTGCATAGGGACCCCGGACCTCCATGGTGGTCTCTCTTCCAAATACTAACCAGGGCCGACCCTGCTTAGCTTTTGAGATCTGACCAAACTGGGATAGCCTGGGCTATCCACCTGGAAGAAGAACTTCTCCTGCACTGGGGTCAATCCTGCTGTTTGGAACAATAGTCTATCCAGCTCATCATGTTTAGATAATTGTGAGCTGAGCATGAATTTTTCTCATTTTGCGTTCTGAACCAGACAAAGGTCCTGCACAGTGCTCTCTCTAAGCTGTGGAGTCCTGTGAGCAAAAAATTCTGCTTTGTGAGCTACCGGCATTAAAGCTGTGAGCTGACGATTTGGCTCCTGCGTGAATCGGTTTGCTCTGGAGCCATCCTGCCTGAGCGGAGACAAAAACGTGTGAGCCGGAAGCTAAAAAAGCTGTGAGCTAGCTCTCACTAACCCAGCTTAGAGGGAACGCCGCTCCTGCATATCTGTGGTCGGCTTGACCAGCCTGCCTTGTAGATTTGTGCGCAAACGTGTTCGAAGAAGGAGAGAGTCTTCTTGGGATCTGGCAACCAAATCAGCTACACACAGATGTACACAGTCAAACATATTTATTAAAAGCACGGATTAGGTACTTAACTCCATTTCTCCCGACCCGACCCCCAAATTTCCACACGTGGAGGAACAGATCACACCACTTTGGGGGGGGGAAGGGAAGCTGACTCAATACGGTTTTGTAAAAAAGAAAAAAGGAGAACGCGTCACAGTGAGAAGCACAGCACTCCCAATGAGAGAACAGAACACTAATGCAATCTTAAAAATGAAACTGTACAACAGGTTGATCCGGGGCTTTCGGCTTGTCCACAATCGCTGCGTGATTTTCCCAAAGAGTGGCAGCCTATCATTTTGGCACTAGATTTTTTTCTTTAAAAAAACCCCACACACACTGAACAAAAGAAAGACATTTGCAACATGCGGTTTTCAGGGAAGACCCACCTCAGCACTCTGCATATTAAAAGAACGAGAGAGTGAAGAATGAGAGTTGGGGAGTTAAGAAACACACGACCGACACGGTGGCCGCTCGGAGTCGAACCGTCCGAGTGTAGGGCGCCCAGAGAGTTTTTGCAGCTTGCAAGATTGGCTCAGCGACAGATCAATGACGCCGCTTCAAGGTAGGTACCAAAGAAAGAAATCGCTCCTTGAGAGACTGGATGAGAAAAAAGGTGCCTTTTGGGACCGCCCCCCCAACCACCTTTTTTTTGCTGTGCCACAGTCTCCGGGGGGTGACTTAGCCTCTGCTTTTGTCGTAGTCGCTCACCATCCGCTTGATGTGGAAGAGCTTGCTTCGAAGGGACTTGGTTTCCATTTTCTTGCTCTGGTAGTCGGGTGTCTAGCAAATTAATGGAGGGAAGGGGGGGGGAATACACAATTGGTGTTGCGCAAAAACGTTCATAATTAAAGAGCACGGCAGTTGAAAGAATTTGCAGAAACAGAAGAATTTGCAAAGAGCGGTCGATGGATCCCCAGCAACAAAACGACGGCTTTGCTGTCCGTGTTTGTCTTTCGGACCATTTAATATTTGTTTGGGGTTTGTTCTCCTCCCCCCCAAGACTAGCTGTCATTTTGGTACGCTTGAAGGGATGACACTGAATACTGCCTCGCAGGTGTGTTTTGCACGTTTCAGTAGCAAGATGCAAGAAAAAAAATGTATCATTGCTATTTATTACAAATCCACATAGCGCCTTCCATCTGAGTCTATCTGCACTGGCATTGTTTGCTCTGACTGGCAGCAGCTCTCCGGGGGCTCAGGCAGAGAGAAGTCCTTCCCAATGCCTTTAACTGGAGACGCCAGACAGGGACCCAGCATACGTGGGGACAGACATGGATCATCTGCCATACAAGCTAGGACTAGCATGGTGTGATGGGAGGGGTTGTGGCTCAGTGATAAGACCATCTGCTTGGCATACAGAAGGTCCCAAGTTCAATGCCCAGCACTGTAATGATTTCTTGTTTTGGTGTGTGTGTTTCTTTAAATGTTTAGTTTATATTATTTATTTATTTTATTATTGAGATTTATATCCCGCCCCATCCAGTATTCAGCTCGGGGCGGCTTACAAGATTAAAATAGAAATACAAACAACAACAATTTAAAACAATATATCCAATATAAAATATGGTGCTGAAATAATTTACATAAGTTTGACTGCAGTACTGTAAGAAGAGTGATAGAGAGAGAGACGTGTGATGTGATTGGCTGATTGGAGAGCCAGTTTGGTGTAGTGGTTAAGTGTGTGGACTCTAATCTGGGAGAACCCAGTTTGATTCCTGACTCCTCCACTTGCACCTGCTGATGTGACCTTGGGTCAGTCACAAGCTCTGGCACAGCTGTTCCCGAAAGAGCAGTTTGTGTCAGAGTTCTCTCAGCCCCACCCACCTCACAGGGTGTCTGTTGTGGGGAGGGGAAGGGAAAGGAGTTTGTAAGCCGCTCTGAGACTCCAAGTGAAGGGCGGGGTATAAATCCAATCCTTCTTCTGATGATGACTGAGAGTGTGGGAGGAGGTGTCAATGAGGGGATTCTGTGTGTGAAGTTTGAAGAGAGAGCATAGTTTTTAAGTCTAGTCTGTGAGACTATGGGAGTTTTTGAGTCTATTCTGTGTGAATAAGACAAAGAGTTCAGCCTGTGTGGCTATATAGATGAGATGAGAGAGACTGAGTGTCTACGCCTGTCAGAGTGGAGTTTTGGGAGTTTGAGAGACTGTGACACCAAGATTTGCCAGTTATATTTACAAGTTCCTTTCATCAGCAACAGTTCAAAATGACCAGAAACCTATTTTGTTCTTTATTAAATAAATTTTTGTTTGTTTGTTTAAACTTATCCCAGAAATCAGAATAGTCCTTCCTCAGGGCAACATGATCCCCTGAAGTGCCCAGACCCTAGGTCATTCTACCAAAAAAGAGAGATTTCAATTTTTTAATTCCTGGTGGCAGCAGAAATCTACCAAGTTTAGGTACACAGAGAGTGTTTTAAAGGTAAAACTGTCTCCCCAATAAGCAAGGATGTTGCAGGCACCTCCAGTTAAAGAGGACCAGGCAGTAGGTGATGGAAAGACCTCTGCCTGAGACCTGGAGAGCTGCTGCCAGTCGATTAGACAATACTGTATATGGCAGCTTCATGTGTTCATGAGTGGTCAGAGTCTTAGACAAGGCTTGGGAACAAAAGCAGAGTCCAGTAGCGCCTTAAAGACCAACAACATTTACTAGGGTACAGACATTTTGTAAGTGTCTGGCAAAATGAGCTTTGAGCCCTGACGTGGATATCTCAGGCTAGCCCAATCTCATCAGATCTCGGAAGCTAAGCAGGGTTGGCCCTGGCTAGTATTTGGAAGGGCAACCTCCAAGGAATACCAGGGTCGTGATGCAGAGGCAGGCAATGGCAAACCACCTCTGAAACATCTCTTGCCTTAAAAACAAGTCTAGCTCGCCACCTACTGGGTGCATAATGCTAAAAGAGCTAGAACTTCTGGGTGCCAGACAATCGTAGGATCTCCTGGCTATTCTACACACAATGCCATACAATAATTAATTAATTAGTGAGCTTTGACTCACAAAAAAAGTTACAGCCTGGACAATTCTGTTGGTCTTTAAGGTGCTACTGGACTCAGATTTTGTTCCACTCCAGAAGAAGAAGAAGAAGAAGAGAAGAGATTGGATTTATAGCCCGCCCTTCACTACCCAAAGGAGTCTCAGAGCGGCTTACAATTGCCTTTCCCTTGCCCTCCCCACAACAGACACCCTGTGAGGTAGGTGGGGCTGAGAGAGCTCTGACAGAAACTGGGGTCTTCCAGATCCTCATTTCAGGTGGGTGGCCATGCTTAGCGTAGTGGTTAAGTGCACGGACTCCAATCTGGGAGAACCGGGTTTGATTTCCCACTCCTCTGCTTGCACCTGCTGGATGACCTTGGGCAAGCCGTAGTTCTGATAAGAGCTGTCCTTGAAAAAGAAGCGGTTTCTGTCAGAGCTCTCTCAGCCTCACCCACCTCACAGGGCGTCTGTTGTGGGGAAGGGAAAGGAGTTTGTAAGCTGCTCTGAGACACCTTTGGGTAGTGAAGGGCGGGGTATCAATCCAATCTGTTCTTCTTCTTTTTCAAGAACAGCTCTTATCAGAACTATGGCTTGCCCAAGGTCAACCAGCAGCTGCAAGTGGAGGAGTGGGGAATCAAACCTCGTTCTCCCAGATTAGATTCTGCGCACTTAACCACTACACCAAACATGGCCACTCACCTGAAATGAGGATCCGGAAGACCCCAGTGTGAATTCCCACCGAACCTTGGTGACCTTGGGCCCAGTCACTCTTTCAGCCTAGCCTACCTCACAGGCCTGTTGTGAGAACACCACCTCCGAGGGGAGAAATGTGGTAGTAAGCTGCTCTGGGAAAATCCAGATAGCAGGGTTGAGGGAGAGACGCTGTGTGTTTTGGTAACAAAGGCGAGGGCAGCGAACAGAAAAGGAATGCAAGGAATTGCACTCTCCGGTTCTGGAATTTAATTTTAGGGATTCTCCCAGTTCAATCTGGAACAGAGAAGGGAAAGAACAAGTGGCAAAGGTAACAGGCCAGTGTAGATCTGATAGGATAGGAAATCAAATACTTTTGATGGGTGGGTGGGGAGGTTACTCACGCGTTTTAAATCCTTCAGCCGGTTGTATTCCTCCGCCACGCCCTGCAGGAGAGAGAAAAATGATCAAGGGTTGGACGTAGTCAGCAACTGGAGGCTCCTTTCAGAAATCTGATCTGAAATCAGCGGAGGTGGAATGTGGTCAGAGAGGCAGATGATGCCCCAGTGGACAATGCCGGCCTTTCAGGAACTCTGGCTGTCTGCCGGCACCAGGCTTCTCCTGAGCCAACTGGGAGGTTACCTGTCTGGTCTGTTGACGTACACGGACGTTAGCAATTTACTAGGAAACCTGCATGGAAATTGATAGTTACCCGTAGAACGGCCCAGAGCTGCACAGCATCGGGTCTGGGCCCACAGTCAAACCTAGCACGGCATCAGAGTTTAACTGAGGGGGCTGAACCCTGAACAACCCTAAAGCTACCTTGGGTAATGGTTGTCTTTCTTATGGGAAACATTGGGGAATTTCACATTACCCAGTTTCACCCGGTTTCAAGCCGGTAATGATCCGTTTTGAAGTGAACCGGTATAGGGCTGCCATTTCACACATGGCTTTCCCCTTCCGGTAAAGAGCTGGATCTGAAGTGGTTTGCCATTTCAGACTGCACCGCTTTCCCCCCCGCTGTTTTTCGGCCGTGCGGGCGATCTCCGGCTTTTTTTTTTTTGAACGTTTGCTTTAGAGCACTATAGCAGTATAACAAAACACTCCATGCATTCCAATGGGATTGATATAATGCTATTCCGTTATAGCTATAGCTATAACGCTATAAAGCAAACGTAAAAAAACGCTATAATGCTATAATAATAATAATATACTTTATTGTCATTGTACACAGTACAACGAAATTAAAGGTGCAATCATTTCAGTGATCTACAGCCATACACATATACACTCACACAACCATTCACAACCATCCCATAACTCCCTTAAGGTTCACATTGCAACCTAAACCACCAATGTCACCCAAATTCCAACTTCATGCAGCATTTAAAGCAATAATAGCTCTCGAATAAAAACTGTTTTTTAATCTGTTTGTCCTTGTTTTAATTGTCCTATATCTTCTACCCGAAGGCAGCAGTTCAAACAAGGAGTGTTCAGGATGTGACAAATCCTGCAGAATGTTCTTTGCTTTTTTCAAGCATCGAGAACTATACAATTCCTCCAGGAACGGGAGAGGGCAGCCAATAATCTTCTGGGCTGTGATGATAACTCTCTGGAGTTCTTTCCTCTCCACAGCCGTACAGCTGGCAAACCAGGCACAGACGCAGTATGTTAAAATGCTCTCTATTGAGCAACGATAGAAGGACATCAGTATTTTCTCACTCAAGTTATTTTTCTTTAAAAGTCTGAGAAAAAAGAGCCTCTGCTGGGCCTTCTTCACCAGAGCAGTGGTGTTAGCGCTCCAGGTCAAGTTTTGCTCAATAATCACCCCCAAAAACTTAAAAGTAGCCACCCTCTCCACACGTTCTCCACCAATAAATAGTGGCTGGATGTGTGTTTTGTTCCTCCTATAGTCCACTACCAATTCCTTGGTCTTGGTGGTGTTGAGGATCAAATTATTTTCCCTGCACCAAACACAAAGCCGTTCCACCTCGTCCCAATAAGCAGACTCATCATTCCCAGAGATGAGCCCCACGACAGTGGTGTCATCAGCAAACTTGATGATGGTGTTACTGGGGTGGGTGGGGGTACAATCCTGTGTATAGAGGGTATAGAGCAAGGGGCTCAACACACAACCTTGTGGAGAACCGGTATTAAGGGTAAGGGCTGTGGACATATAGGACCCTACTCTGACCCTCTGGGGGCTATAAAGGAGACGTTAAAAAAAAAAGCCGGAGATCGCCCGTGCGGGTGAAAAACGGCGGGAAAAATCGCATCGGAACCGGGAGAGGAAACTGAGGAGTACTTGGAAGCGGTTGACAGGTAAAACGCTTCAGCCCCGTTTCCTAAACGGGACAGAAACGATTGTGTATGAAATGACAAATATATTCCGGAAGGGAACCAGTTCTCAAACGGTTCTGTCTGAAATGACAGACCAGAAACCGTTTGGAAACCGTTCCTCTTCCAGAATATATTGCCTGTCTGAAATTCCTCATTTTTAAGCCGCCTTTCCCTCCCACTTAAGAGTCCCAAGCAGTGTTCCCTCTCAGCTGAGTTAGGGTGAGCGAGCTCACAGTTTTTTAGCCTCCGGCTCACAGAGTTCTGTCTTAGCTCAGGAAGGACGGCTCCAGAGCAAACTGATTTATCCAGTAGCCAAATCGCTCGCTCACAACCAATGCTCCCTCTAAGCTATGGAGTCTTATGAGCCAAAATTCTACCTCTGAGCAAAAAAAGCTAGCAGCATTAAAGTTGTGAGGGAGTCTACATTTTACTCTCGCATAAATGACTTTTTTAGAAGATTATTTCCATACCCTTATGAAAATCTCAGAATGAATTCTTTTAAACTATAGTTGAACTATATTTTAAAAATAATGTAAAAATTATAAGAGAAAACAGAATCATGTCAAATTTAATTACAGAAAACGTTGTCCTCTATGGGGGTAGATCAAGCCTCCGGAGAACAGGTTTACCCACCCCAGTCCACTATATTGGTAGACCTGGCCTCGGACCGTTGCCCTGCGCTGAGCCTTAGAAAACATACCAGCACTTGGGGGGGCGGGGGCGACAACGACTTTGCAGTCTACTCTCTTTTTTTTAGTGAAATATGACAAATTTACAGGTCAAGTATAACGGGTGGACAACCACTCTCAGAACCCTGCCTAAACTAACAAACAGGAAGTTGCTTAAATGCTATCAACCTACCCAAACAACTTCTTTATTCAAATGTGTATATCCCACTTTTCCTGTGACTCAAGGTAGCTTTTAGATCATACTGAAAAGCATAACAGGGGTATGCAAAAAAATAATAATTGTTTCCCCCCCCTGTTCTACTATAGCCTATGGGGACCGTTATAATCAATGGGCACCATAGACTATAATGGAGAATTGATCTGGGGTTATCTGGGGCTCTGGGGGTTGTTTTTTGAGGTAGAGGCATAAAATTTTCAGCACAGCTGCTGCTACCTCAAAAAACCCTCCAAGGTCCCGTTCACACTTGCGTGGCTGTTTGCGGTGGCGCACTTTGACCCGCCCGGACGCGATCAGATGGGAATCGGGTTTCAGTTCGTCAGCACGCGTTTCCGGCGCACCTCAACACAGTGAGAGGAGCTGCTGGAGCGATCAGACGGAGGATGTCCGTCTGCGGCCCGTTGCAAGCGTTATCTACTGCACTTTCACCGGTAGCTTTTAACTGCGGATCTTCGGCCGGACGCGATGGGCTGGCAACAGGTGCGCGACGCCTGCCAGATGTGCCCGTTTGATTGCACCCTTAAGATCCACCTGGCATCCATGACTATCCTGCGGCAACTTCTACGTGTGATCGGAGCCCAAGTTTCAAAAAGACTGGACCAGGGGAGTCCAATTCTATGGGACCCAGAAGGAGGTGCCCCCATCCACCATTAGAGGGAAGAAAAAGGCTTTTGGGCAGGAAGCAGAAACCTGTGAGCAGCCAGCTAAAACTTTGTGCGCCAAGGCCCCCTAGCGCAGCTTAGAGGGAACACTGGTTGGTTGTAAAAGAAAGGAGTGTGCTACAACTTCTGACTGTTTTGAAGTGCAACCTGTACTCTGAAGAAGAGGCTACCGTTAAGGACAGAATATGGAGAAACAGAATGGTTTCCACTTGGCAGGGATGTTAGACAGGGGTTTATTTTATCTACCTGTCTGTTCAACCTATATGCAGAACGTATCGTAAGGAAGACGGGATTAGAGTGGGATGACGGTGACGTGAAAACTGTCGGAAGGATCATTAGCCATCTGAGATACATTGCCAGCAAAAAAATACTGAAGACTTGAAATGGCTACTGATGAAGACTGAAGCAGAAAGTGCCTGTCCGGTTCGGGTTGTTTGACCATCTGTGCCTGTTGTATTATTGCCTAAAAAACCTGACGCATTTTCACCTCAACTATTGTTGTAAACCTTTCTTCCCCTGTGCTGTTCTAAAGCTCTTATCACCTACCCTCGCTTGCCACCACATTCCTGTAGGAGCAGAGATGCTAGCTTCAGTAATTCTTCCCTGCCACTCCAAAGAGACAGCTTCCACAGGGGAAGTTGTCCTTGGAGAAGAGTCTTTGATTAGCTAGCCGTGGGCCGTATATCTCTCAGGGTCTGTGTAGTATTGCTGATGTACAGAGGAGCAGGAGCTCATTAGCATACCTCATTAGCATAACATTTGCATGTGCCACACCCCCTGATATCACCAGAAGTGCGTCAGAAGGCAACACCCTCCGCTCAGGCTCCACTGGACTGTTTTGGATTGCTAGCTATTGGGGGCGAAGAGGAACGTGCAGATCTGTCCTCGCAGAGGAGGGAGAGCCTTTACCTGAATAAAACTTGGTCTTAAAGGTGCCACTGGGCTGTTGGGGGCCGGGGGGGGGCTCTGCAACTTACCTAGCTGCTTCTTGCTCTGACTGAGGGCTGCTGGGAGCAGGGGATGGGGCTTGTTGCATGTGCCCGCCCCCTGGGCTCTTTACTGCTGGAGCTCCGCTCCTGTGCGCTCCTGCAGGAAATGACCCCTGCTGACGTGTATGAATGGAATGTGTGTTTGTAACTATATGCACCTTTCCCGCTCTGACACCCCAGTTCTGACAAAGAGCTCAATCCCTGCACATCTCATATCTTCTAATAAAACTTCCACCCAAGAAAGTGTATGTGTGGAGAGTGACTTGACTGGGAACCTGACAGAGCCAAAGCAGGACTGCAGCTGAACATCAAGAAGACAAAAGTAATGACTACGGGGGAATGACACAACTTTAAGGATGACAATGAAGAAACTGAAATCGTTCCAGATTTTCCACTCCTTGGCTCCATCAGGAAACAAAAGGGAAACCGCAGCCAAGAAGGCGCTTGAGACTGGGAGGGGCGGAGGAGGAGGAGGAGAAGAGGGGGAGGGTATTGCATTTCTACCCTGCCCTTCACTACCCGAAGGAGTCTCAGAGCGGCTTACAAACTCCTTTCCCTTCCCCTCCCCACAACAGACACCCTGGGAGGCAGGTGGGGCTGAGAGAGCTCTTCCAAGAACTGCCCTTGAGGGAACAGCTCTGAAACAACTAGTGACTGACCCAAAGTCACGCCAGCAGCTGCACGTGGAGGAGTGGGGAATCAAACCTGGTTCTCCCAGATTAGAGTCCACGGTCCTAACCACTACCCCAAAATGAAGGTGCTAGATAAGTTCCTTAAGTGTAAGGATGTGTCACTGGCAACCAAGATCAAGACAATTCATGTCAACAGTATTCCCCATCACTGTGCATGAGTGTGAAAGTTGGACAATGGAGAAAGCGGATTCATTTGGAATGTGGTGTTGGAGGGGAGCTTTTTTTGGAAACTGTGAACCGCCAAAAAAGGACAAATAAGTGGGCTGTAGATCAAATCAGGCCTGAACTCCCCCTAGAACCAGAGAAGACAAGACTCCCTGGAAAAGCGAATCATGCTAGGAAAAGTTGAAGGCACCAGGAAAAGAGGAAGACCCAACATGAGATGGACGGACTCAGTCAAGTGTTCAATCAAGTGTGCACTACCTTAGCAAGGCTGTTAAGGATAGGACGTCTGGAGGTCATTCATTCAGAGGGTTGCCACCAGTGTTCCCTCTAAGCTGAGTTAATGTGAGCTAGCTCACAGTGTTTTAGCCTCTGGCTCACACATTTTTGCCTTAGCTCAGGAAGGAGGGCTCCAGAGCAAACTAATTTAGGCAGGAGCCAAATCGCTCGCTCACAACTTGAATGCCAGGAGCTGACAAAGTAGAATTGTTGCTCACAAGACTCCACAGCTTAGAGGGAGCATTGGTTGCCACATGTCAGAAGTGACATAAGAACATCAGAGAAGCCAATGCTGGATCAGGCCAATGGCCCATCTAGTCCAACACTCTGTCACACAGTGGCCAAAAACACCAGGTGCCACCAGGAGGTCCAGCAGTGGGGCCAGGGCACTAGAAGCCCTCCCACTGTTGCCCCCCCCAAGCACCAAGAAGACAGAGCATCCCTGGCCCCAGACTGAGAGTTCCTATCTATACCTTGTGGCTAATAGCCCCTGATGGACCTCTGCTCCATATGCTTATCTAATTCCCTTTTGAAGCCGCCTATGCTTCTTGCTCTGACTGAGGGCTGCTGGGAGCAGGGGGTGGGGCTTGTTGCATGTGCCCGCCCCCTGGGCTCTTTACTGCCGGAGCTCTGCTCCTGTTCGCTCCTGCAGGAAATGACCCCTGGATGTATCTGATGAATTTTTGCCTGTGCGTGAAAGCTCATACCTTGAATAAAACTTTGTTGGTCTTAAAGGTGCTCTTTCTAAAATAGGGAAGATAGTGTTTGATTGCATACGCTTCTCTCCCCCCACCCCACCCCAAATCCAGCACTCTTCCTGTTTGTGTAACCGAGCCCACCTGGTACTGCAGGCTGTCTTCGGGCAGGTGGTCCAGCTGTTTGCTGAGCTGGTTGATCTGGTCGTTGATGCTGTCCATCTCTGCACACAGCTGCTTATAGTGCTTGAGGTCCGAGGCAAAATCTTGTTTATATTCCTGCCGGATCCTGTCTGTCGTAATGGGCGGGTACAGGCTGGGTGGGAAGGAGGAGTGCGAGGTTCAGAACAGAAAGAAAATGGCCATATTTACACTACAGATGTCACTTTTCTGATCCCCAGGCATCTCCCCTCTGGAGGAGGGGGAGATTGGATTTACATGCCGCCCTTCACTCGGGAGTCTCAGAGTGGCTTACAAACTCCTTCCCCTTCCCCTCCCCACAACAGACACCCTGGGAGGTAGGTGGGGCTGAGAGAGCTTTGACAGAAACTGCTCTTTTTCAAGGATAGCTCTGACAGAACTACGGCTTGCCCAAGGTCATCCAGCAGCTGCAAGTGGAGGAGTGGGGAATCAAACCCGGTTCTCCCAGATTAGAGTCCGCGCACTTAACCACTACACCAAACTGGCTATCAGTGGCTCTGCTCTGATCAAGCTGCTTACAATATGCATGGTCCCTCGGCATCCTTTACAAGCATTCTCCACAACACCCTTTCCACCTTCGGTCTGGGATAAAAAGACTCAGAGAGCTCTATTCCAACATGTGTCTGATGGAGGGATCTTTTACATTTCTGGTATCATTTTACTTTGATAATCCTTAAGGGTCCTCGTTTCTCTTGTGGTAGATATTATGAGGCCAATGTTGTATATTCATCTTTTATTACTGAGCTTAAGACCTTTGGTTATAGAAACTAATGAACATAAGTAAGTAAGTCTTGTGGTAGGAAGCAAACGAGGGCATTATCTTCCTTCTCAACAAAGGCCTCCAGTTCCCCTCCAGCCATTCTGATACTTCTAATACTGCCAGCCCTGTGCTACTTCCTGTCCAAGATGGCGGCACTTCCTCCTCACCTTTTCCATTCGTCCGGATCTTGCTCGTCGCTGGACTCCATTGCTGTGGTGTAGTCTGTCTCATACTGGGATTCTTCGAGTTCAGGGTTCCTCCGTCGCCTCCGTCCCCTGCGGGCTGAAGGCTTGCTGGGAGTCTCTCTGGCCTTCTCTTCTAAGGTGCTGGAGCTAAAAGTCCTGGCAGGAGGGTCGGCGGAGGAGCGCAAGGGTGTGCTAGAAAGAGAGACAAAAACCCCAAATGTGAGCTAGGGTTGGTACGAAGAAGAAGAAGGAGGAGGAGGAGGAGATTAGATTTAAACCCCAAAGGAGTCTCAGACCTGCTTACAAACTCCTTTCCCTTCCCCTCCCCACAAGAGACACCCTAGGAGGTAGGTGGGGCTGAGAGAGTTCCGACAGAAACTGCTCTTTTTCAAGGACAGCTCTTATCAGAAATATGGCTTGCCCAAGGTCATCCAGCAGGTGTAAGTGGAGGAGTGGGGAATCAAACCCAGTTCTCCCAGATTAGAGTCCGCGCATTTAACTGCTACACCAAACTGAAGCGGAGATTGGATTTATACCCCGCCCTTCACTACCTGAAGAAGTCTCAGAGCAGCTTACAATCTCCTTTCCCTTCCCCTCCCCCCCACAACAGACATCCTGTGAGGTAGGTGGGGCTGAGAGAGCTCTTCCG